CTGCAGAGCAGCTCCTTATCAACTAATCGTGTAATGTATACACATTGTATCGACTACACAATTAACCAGATATGGGCAATTTAACATCCTTACACCGGGATGGGGAATCTTTTTTTGGGGGGGGGGGTCAGGGACCTCTGACCCAAAGAAAAATCTGTTGGGGGCCACACACACAAGCGAGAAGCCCCCCCCCAAAAAAAAACCCCACCACCTTCACTGATGTGGCCCCCTGCTGAGAAGGTCTCTACATTCCGCTCACAAACCAGAACCCAGGTTAGTAGATTCTGTGTGCTCCAGTCCTGTGGGGCACTGATTGGGCCAGATCTAAGAAAGGGAAGTAATCTCTGTCTGAATAGAAGTGTTTTGTTTCTTAAAAGCAACTCTTGTAGGTATCTTGGAATCTAAAAAAGAATAGGTTATCAAAATAAAGTTAATTTGTCCTAAGAAAACACCTGCATCTGTATAGGGATATCAATTGTTATGTTTGTCAATATTTACTGCTGACTGGGGAGACTTTCCATAGCACAAAGCAGGTAGGCACCTAACTTCCATTTGTGCCTCTGAAAATTTCCCTAAATACCATGTATTGGACAGTCTTGAGGACAGAGATTAGGGCAATGTTTAGAGAGTCTAGTATTTTGGACATTATAGCAATCTAAATAATGCTAAGTATGGTGCTGGTAAACATTTTTCTTAACAGAAAAGTTTCACTTTCCTCCTTGTCTTCATCTCCAGTTGCTGACTTCATATTCATTGGTATGTGGGGCTGACAGGCTGAGGTAGATACATTATGCTAAGAGAGAAACAAGTGCAAGAATCTAGAACGTTTAGCCTACAAAACTTGACTCCTTAAACTTGGTCTTCATGTTAATTCTGTTTAATGCAATGGTCTCTAACCTTTTTAAGCACAAGATCACTTTTTGAATAGTCAGTCCTGGAACTACCTCAAACCAAATACCTCTGCCCCCACCCATTCTCTGAGGCCCTACCTCCTCACTCAACGCCCCCCTGCCTCCGTCTCCCCTACTTTGCACAAGCAGAAGGCTCCCAGGGAGCAGCTCTGGGCAGGAGCAGCAGGGCAGAGAGGGAGGGGCAGCTGAAGTGCAGGCAAACCAGCCAGGATCACCTGTCAGAGGCTCCAAAATCTACTGGTAGATCCTGATCAACTGGTTGGTGACCATTGTGTTAATGCATCTTTTTAAAGAATTAGGTACTTTATATTCACCATAAGTCTGCTATCGCTCTCGCTGCAAGAATTTACAAGTGATGGGCGAAACTCAGGAATATGATCATGGGATGCAACAAAGGGAGCCTGCAAGCTGAGGGGAGGAAAGAGAGAAATTGGGTTGTAGCTACATTATGAAGAAGGAATTGAAGGTTGTTGGGGTTTTTTTTCCTGCTTTTTCTTAAAAACTATCTTCCTCACCAAATAGATTTCAGTGTCTGATAGAGGACACCATGACTACATCTTGACAGCGGGACTATTTTGGGATTCCAGAAGTATCCTGAAATAGCAATTCCACATCTTTAATGTGCCGTCCCGGCATCTCTGTAGCCCTTGTTCCATGAGGGTTAAGGGATTTGTTGAAATAGCACTTTATTTCAAAATAAGCTTGAAAAAAAGCTATGCAGTTTGCAAAGTACAAATTGCGTAGATTATTTTGAGGTAAGGGTGCTGTGTAGATGCACCCCATATTGAAAAACACTGGCAGCTGCTGGCACCCAATCTTAATAAGCATGTCCACTGTTGCTATCAGCTGTGGCGATGCAGTGATGGCAAAAATAACGATACATTTTCAGGAAAAGAAGTAAAGACAAGATTTATCAATAATCACAAGAGTAGTTAAATGATGTTACCAAAGTCAAGAACAAAGAATATGAAATATAAGCAATTGAAAGTCTAAGGGATGTTTAAGTAGATTAGGGATGTGAATAACTAGTTGACTATCCAAAAAGCAAATGCTTATCGTGTAGTTGACAGGCTAGTCGACTAGTTGCTTCCTCACCCCTTGCTGCCTCTATCAAAAAGAGGCAACAGGGTGGGGGGAAAGAGGAGGGAGTATGTCAAAGTGGCAGTGCTGTGTGGAGCCTGGGGCTAGACCCTGGGCTCTATGCAGCACTGCTGCTTTGAAACACTTTGTGCAGCTGGGGGCCAACTGAGGTGTCCTCAGGCTGCAGGTGGCATGGAGCCTGGGATCAGCTGGGGACTCTCCTGCTGATCCAGACTCTGTGCGGTGCTGCTGCTTTGAAACACTGTGTGGAGCCTGACACTTCATGCAGCGCTGCCACTTTGAAATGCCATGGAGAGCATGGGGCCAGCGGGAGACTTTTGCCTTTCAGATATAGCTCACTTTAAAGGCGGAGGTGCCCTATTGACTAATCAAATAGTTGATGCAAATTGTATTGACTATTCAATTAGTCAGTTACTCAAACTTCTACATCCTTCAAGTAGACTATTAAAACACCTTGTAAAATACTGTGTAACTGATTTAATGTTTTGAAGAAGTGAGTCCAAAAACGTTCCAGATCCAAACATTTGTGAGGGATAATACAGATATTCTGAGATATTCAGTAGGTCCTCCAGCAAGACCAGTGTTGATATTTCTTTTTTCTGAGCATAAAACAGCTTACTTAAAAAATACTTTCCTAGCCCTTAAAAATCATAGATTTTTTTTTTAAGGCCCAAGAAATATTATTTTTAAAAACAATCCTTTGGTCAGCTTTAAAGTATGTGTACACCCTTAGAGCATGTGTCATTCCAAATTCTGGAATCACTTCAGCCCTTTGAATTAGTATGTAATTATAGTAATTTCTTTATCTGGCATTGATGGGAAATGGGGATGTTGGGTAATCAAATGTGCTGGTTACTCTTACTCAACCTTTACATTGATGGTTCATTAATTTTTTTCCCTATATTAGTTATAGGTACCGGATGGGTTAGCTGATACCCAATAATGAAATTATACACAAAAGCATGACACAAACTTTACTACCACAAGTTTACAAACTTGACTTCCACAAGTGTTGGAAAATGTTGAAAAATTATGCCAGAGGGCTTTAAGAATTTTTCTGGTTAACTAAAGGAGGAATTGTGTTGCCATCTATGACGGATGCTGATTCACCAAGTTTTCTGGATAGTCAAGTGCTGAATAATGCAGCTTGTATTAGGGATGTAGGCAACTAGTCGAGTAGTCGACTACCCAATAAGCCTAGGCCTGTGTCAGAGGCTCCGGGGAGCTGGCTTAAAAGCTGGTTCCCCCCAGCACGGTCTCTGCCGTGTAGGAGGAGGGGAGGCAGAGGCACAGTTATCTGGGGCCTGTCAGGAGCCGGGACTGCAGAGCCAGACCTACCCCCACTGCATCTCTGTAGTTTAAGTGTAGGAGCTGGGTTGCCTGCGTGCCTGGCTCCTGCTAAATTTAAACTGCACAGCTGAAGTGGGGCCTCTTTTCAACTAATTGTCTAGTTGATACAATTTGTACCAACTACACAATTAGTTGAATCAACTAGACAATTAGTCAGTTACCCGCTTCTTAATATCCTTAGTTTGTTCTATATATCCTAGAAAAGTTTCTTGCCATTTCAACAAGAAAGGACACTGTCTCAACAACTTAATTACCTGCATCCTGCTTCAGAAGCCTTTTAAATCTGTACTTGAAAGGGAATCCTCTGAACTGTCATTCATGCTAAAATTCGACACTCTACGCGGGGGGGCTCAACAAAGACTCTGGCTATCTTACCCATTACAAAGCTAGCCTCCCCAATTATCACCTCTAATACCATTAGCTCACAGGAATCTACCTTCCCTCCCTCTTCTTCTCCCCCACATCCCTCTTCTGTTCTGAAATTTGATTTGTCCTTTTCATATGTGTTCATTTTTAAAAAAATTTTATCCTTTGGTATATATGGTTGTCGCTATTTTCTTCCACTATTTGATCTGAGGAAGTGGGTCTGGCCCATGAAAGCTCATCATCTAATAAACCATCTTGTTAGTCTTTAAAGTGCTACATAGTCCTGTATTTTGTTTTAGAAAGACTTAGATCTGGAAAAGGTGAAGATTAACCACTTTATTTATTAAATGTTGTGGAGTCGTTCACGATAGGTTAAATATGTAACACTTTCAACCAACTTTCTGCGGAAACATGAACAAATTTACATTTACATCACCAGGGCTCGACAAATTGCAGCAAGAGCTACTCGCCAGACTCACACCGCGCATGTGCCAGTTCGGCACTGCGCATGCGTGCAGCGCTGCTGAATGGGGCGCATGGAACGACCAGCTGAAATCTACTCTCCATGCGCGAGTAGAAACAGCGGTTTGTCGAGCCCTGTACATCACTGTACATTTTAACTTCTGTATTCTGGCTATATATCCATCTTTTTGCCAGTCAAGCTTCTTTTATTAGTGAAATCTCAGGTGATATATATGTGTGTGTGTGTGTGTGTGTGTGTGTGTGTGTGTGTGAGAGAGACCGACCGACCGACCGACCGACGGACGAAAATACACTTAGCACTACAATTATGCCTGTATCAAACTTCACTGTAGCTTAGATAATAGAATTTTGGAGAGAAAAGAAGAAAGCTATACCTGATCATGTTTAAATTTTAAAGAGCTTTACACTTGTGCCAAAATTCTATGGACATTAAACTTTGGTTTAATAAGTTTTAGATGTAACAGTAACCAGAAAACTGCTTGCTTGACTGATCTGCCAAATTATTAGGCAGAATCATGTATTGTAAATTGCGGTGATTTGAATGAACCTTCCATGTCCTGTGATAGTGATTGCTATACTCAAGTAATATGATTAATAAAGAAATACCTTTGTACAAATTATAACCAGATATCTTAGGTTAAAGACTGAGCACTATAGTTCCACTATAAATGGCAGTCTGTAGTAGTTAAAAGATTCGGATTGAATCAAAACCTCAATCCTGCTTTTGAAAATACTTTTTAACAAACTATTAGACCATCATGGTTTGCAATAAGAGAAAACTAGAGATGAATTCTTGTGGGAGTTAAATGTTCAACTTTAAGCAATCATTTTCTTCTTTTACAGAAATGGCCCACACCAGTTCCTCCAATTCATCTTATCAGTGAAGAATCTACTGATAAAACTAATCTGGGGTTTATTCATGCTTTTGTGGCTGCCATATCAGTCATCATTGTGTCAGAGTTGGGGGATAAGACCTTCTTTATTGCAGCCATCATGGCAATGCGTTATAATCGTTTGACTGTAATGGCCGGTGCCATGCTTGCCTTAGGACTGATGACATGCTTATCAGGTTAGAACTCTTTGCTGCCTTTCTCGGAATTCATTGATTAAATGTGTGTGTATAGTCTGTCAACCATAATTGTTAACCAAAGTGAAAATGAACGCAGCAGGTATGCAAGCTACATGGCTTTAAGAGCTACTTTTTTGTAGTCCATTCTGTTATAAATTTTATGCCTTTCAAAGTAGTGGGCTCTTATAACTTCATTCGTTAGCTGAAGAAAGAGGGCACTTAGAAGTAACATGTATATTGATATAAATTGATCTCTTGGATTCTTGCTTGCACATTTGTAAGTATAAATAAGACTAAAGGCCAGGTTCTCTGATAGAGGCAGCAGCGGGGGAGGAGGAGGCGGCGGCACCAGAGAGCTGGCATGTGCCGAGAGCCAGTTTAAAAGCCAGTTCCCTGCATGTATCTGCTCCTACCTGCCCCTCCCTCACCCTCTGCACTGCTGCCTCTCTATCAGATGCAGCAGCACTGAGGTGGGGGATCAGCGCGGGGTGTAGGGTGGCAGGAGCTTGCAGGGAGCCGATTTTAAAAGCCGGCTCTCCAAGGGCACTGGCTTTCTCCCACCTCCCCCTTTGCTGTGTCTGATACATACATATTGGTTAATCATGTAGTCGACTACACATTTGACATCCCTACTTACAAATAGTAACAATCAATGGTCATTTTGATATTATTTAACATAAAATGTAACTTATATTCTTTCAGTTTTATTTGGATATGCTACCACAGTTATCCCCCGAGTGTACACATACTACGCGTCAACTGCACTGTTTGCAATTTTTGGCATCAGAATGCTCCGGGAAGGCTTGAAGATGAGCCCAGATGAAGGTCAGGAGGAGCTGGAGGAAGTTCAAGCAGAAATCAAGAAAAAAGATGAAGAAGTAAGTAATAAAGTATCTAGAAATGATGACTAATGATACACTTAGATTGGTTAGATTGCACAGTTACAGAAGAGTGTGCATATGGGTTGCTCATCTGGATATATGTGTAATAAGAGGTTGATGGATCTATGTGTGGGGCTGACAATAACAAGAAAACACACACATGCCCCTCCTCATCATGGGACCACATACTAGAATACTCTCCCTCGCCCACCCCCTCACTAATTTCCTAATTCTGGCTCTAATTCTTTGTTATATGGTTGCATTTTGAGGTAGGATAGAGGCTTGAACTACATCTTCATAGAATTCATGTGTTGAAATATGTATCTCTTTCACTTGGGGCTTTACCCACCAGCATGTTGACAGCTACCATTGCTGCTGATTTTATTTATAATGTTTAGGTAGAATAATACTGAAGCTAGTGCTGCTGCAGGTGTTCTTGTGGATGTAAGCTAAGCAGAATAATGCAGTAGTAAGAAATAGCATTTCTCTGGAGCATTAGTTTTTTTTTTCATATATTCTTCTTACTAATTTTATTGTCTTCTCCTCTCCCAGTATAACTCACTGTTTTTAATCACCGTGATAATGCATTCTGTTTCTTCTCAGAATAATTAAAAATAGCATAATGTATCATCCAAAATAAACTGTTTTTCGTGCTGTAAAGAGTTTGTCCCCTGTTTTAGCCTACTTTCCACATTTGCACTAGGAGCTAAATATTTGGATTGTCTCATTGTGAAGTTGCACAGCTTTGAGGTAAACAGTAACTTAGAGGTAAAGGATAAGTGTACATATGTAAATTGTAGCTAATTTTGGTAGTAGTACCCTAAATGTTCAATAGCTAAGTTTATCATTCCAAGGATAACTGTTCTGGATATTAAATTAGTTGAGGTTTACATTTTTGAGCAATATTTTCATTGGGAAATTTGGATAATATTTCTGTCCTTCTGATGGACTTTTGTTTCCAGTTCCAGAGAACGAAGCTGTTAAATGGGCCAGGAGATGTGGAAACAGGGACAAGCACAAATATACCTCAGAAGAAGTGGCTGCATTTTATTTCTCCAATTTTTGTTCAAGCTTTTACTTTAACATTTGTAGCAGAATGGGGTGACCGTTCTCAATTGACAACAATAGTCTTGGCAGCAAGAGAAGTGAGTGTGATTGATACAAAATACCCACTGGTCATTTGTTCTGTTTTTAATATTGGCGGCAGATGGTATGTCTTTCATCACATCCATCAAATTCTCAGATTTTCTTTGTAGTTTTAGATATTATCAGTTAATGTTAGAAGTATATGAAGGCATGAGTCTGAAGGCGGCAGCATGGTTATTTCTGTGCATTCTCATTGCCAGAGGGGTTACTGCTGTTACAGTCTCTATTTAAAATTCCATTTTATATTTACTGCATGGTTTGGGACTGCAAGTACCATTTCTTGAAAAAAGCTGTTGCTCTCCAGCTGTACAATATAAGAGATGGTCATTGCATGGAACAACATGACAGTCATTTAAAAACTTTTTTTGAAAATGGCAGGTTAAGCAGATATTGCTCTTAAAACTATTTGCAGCTTTAAAGAGGAACTTATTTGATCAACCCTTAAAACTGTTAAAAGCAGAATGTTAGACTCCAAAACTGCATCATCTTCTACAGGTTAGACTCCCTGATCTGGCATCTTCAGGACCTGACTTATCCTGAATGAGGGAATTTGCCGGATCGGGGAGGTCCCCTGTCACCGGCCTCCCAGGGCTCTGCCCCTCCCTCCTGCTGGCTCAGCTCCAACCCTGCTGCTACAGGGCTTGGCTCTGGTCAGCTTCGACCATCTGGTTGGAGCTCTCCAGGGATAGAGCTCCATGGACCCACTTTTGTCCCGCCTGGTTGTGGCTTCCCAGGGACTGGGCTCTGCAGCTATCCTGCTAGGTCCAAGCTCTGTGGCTGCCCGGATGCTCCCGTGTCCAGCTGGGGCTCCACGGCTGCCTCACTGTTGCTGTGCCCAGCTGAGACGCCCTGGGATGGGGCTCGCCTGTCCCAATGGTAGAATCCCGACCGGCTCGTGCTCCCGGGTGCTGGGGCTTTCTGGTCCAGCAACATCTGTGATCCTGCTGGACAACAGATGTTGCCAGACCAGAGAGTCCTGAACGTAGGAGGTTCAATCTGTAATATGCACCCCTGTTCATTGTAAGCTGCTCTTAAAAATAAGAATTGAAGTACTATTTCCATCTGTTGACATCAGCAGTGCTGCTAAAGCAAAGAAGACAATGAAAAAGGAAATCCACTTAAGCTTCTGGCCTCTTCCAAATGGAAGGGGAAAGATACTTTTCTAACTAGATACATACACAATGTGTTTTTTTTTCTTCATTATATATTCATATTATACATGAAAACATGCTAGCAAAGTCAGGCACTCGGAAGGTAGGAAATGCTAGAACAACGGGTGTGTGTGCAGTTTTAATTTGGCCTCTTTGTGCATATTCATTTAAGTACATTACTCCGTACAGTTTTCCACAGGACGCTGGCCTTTCAGTGCACAGGATGGATTTGGCCTGGAGATGAGTACTTGTGTCTTTATAGTATTTGAGTGAGACATGGGGCTATGAGACAAAGTTTTAAGATCAAAAACATCCATGAATGTTTGGGGTTCAATTTCAGACTCCCACAATCTGCAAGCTTGTGTAGTGGAAGAAGCTGTTCTCTTGGGATCCTTGCTTCATTGGTTGCAGAAGTTAACTGATGAATAAGGCAGGGGCTTCCAGAAGAGAGAAGATGGTCTCATGGTTAAGATAATTTAGTGATTTCCTGGAAAACTTGGTTCCCTCCCTGTCTCTCCCACAGAATTCCTATGTGATGCTGGGCAAATTGCTTTAACAAAACTTTTCATAGGTGGTCACTGTGTTTCTGACTTATCAGGTATTCATCTCGAGTCCCTGGGGCTTATTTGAAGAAGTGCTCTGTGCTGCAACTCTTGAAATCAATGAGAACTATGGTTTAAACAGACAGGCTGCGTCTAGATTGGCATGATTTTCCAGAAATGCTTTTAATGGAAAAGTTTTCTGTTAAGCATTTTCGGAACAGAGCGTCTAGATTGGCGCGGACGCTTTTCCACAAAAGCACTTTTTGCGAAAAAGCGTCTGTGCCAATCTAGACGCACTTTTCTGCAAAAAAAAGCCCCGATCGCCATTTTCACGATCGGGGCTTTTTTTGCGGAAAACAAATCTGAGCTGTCTACACTGGCCCTTTTGCGCAAAAGCTTTGCGTAAAAGGGACTTTTGCCTGAACGGGAGCAGAATAGTATTTCCACAAGAAGCACTGATTTCTTACAGTAGGAAGTCAGTGCTTTTGCGGAAATTCAAGCAGCTAGTGTAGACAGCTGGCAAGTTTTTCCGGAAAAGTGGCTGATTTGCCGGGAAAAACTGGCCAGTCTAGACACAGCCACAAAGTGCAATATAGTGCTGAGTTTTCTGAAAAATCAGGTCTTGGGGTATCTCAAGTTGGACACCCAAAATTAGTGGATACTTTTGACCTTAAGTTTTCTGCCTTGTAGTTCCTTATGAGTGTCGTGACGGCAAGTCAGTTGCTGTTTATAAAGGGTTTAGATACTGCCATAGAAAAGTGCATGAGAAAATTAATAATTCTGTCATTAGATCGGGGTTTAAGGAGTGTGTAGCTATTGAACAGAGGAGAAAACAAAATATTGAGTAGCTGCTCATTAAGTGAACCCCATCTTTCCTATGCACTGCAAGAGACAGGTATCTTGTGAAAAAATGGTCATGTCTAACAACTTTTCTTCCTGGAGCAGACTTAAAGGGATTTTTCAAAAGCACAGATGACAGGCGCTGTGGCAAAGTTCTGACCATGCCCTATGGGTCCTGTACTCCTGGCGGATAGTGTTTGCCTCAGGGACTG